AGTTTTTATTTTCGGTCTTGCACTCCCTGCCTGCACTCCCAGAGTGGACCCCGCTAAGCAGGGCAAATCCAGTCTGGTCCCCACCACCAAGTGGGGTTCTTTTTCCAGGCTGGACCCTGTTAGATAGGGTAAGTCCAGCCTGGTCGCCGGTCTACATAACGGGGCAATTTTTGTATTTTTTGCCTTTTGTTTTGTTTTCTTTTTGGTTCTCGCTAACCTCACCCTCAGATGGGGACTCATACCGGTGCTCTCTGCGGCTCCTCCCACTGCCGCGTTGCTACACCATGAAACACTAAGCATTCAAACTTAACATCAATGCGCAAGACAAGAAGGTCTCTGGCTATACTGGGCCATACTAGCTACATAGAAACAAAAGACAACCAGATTCCTTTAGAACTGTTCCTTAAAACCACGACAGAACACTTTCTAAACTCAATCAACTAATAAATTAAACGCTACAAAACATACAAAATGTACCATCCATCTTCAACTGATCTACCAGTCACGGTTTACAGACACACATAGAGACAAAGAACATACATATTTTATGTTTTTAATATTTATAATCAATTTGGAATGATTGTCTAACAGTTCAGACAGATTAAGTTAAGTGAAGCAGCTCAACAACACTTCCATTTGTTTCAATGACTATCATCCTCAAAGATTTCACAACTTCATTTCCTAAAGGACCTGTCATTCAAAGTACCTGTAGTTCAACAGTAAAGCTCAGCATATCTAAGCAAAATTGGGCCTGTTTAGCGCTGGAATGGGAGACCTCAACAAAAAGATGTTTACGGGTTCAAGTGCCATCGAAAACCCATGAATTTCTCTCCTTGCTGTGAGACAGAAAGCTTGGCCTGCCCTCCAGAAACTTGCTGAAAGACTTTTAAAAGGCAAAGGTATAAAACTGCATTAGCTGGAGACAGCTAAGCAAACATGACATTTCTGTCAAAGGGAAAAAAAAAACAGATACAACACATTATTATATTAATAATGTTGGCTAAGGAAAAAGCAAAGCAATCTGGTTTTGATTATTTCAAAATATGATTAGAGAGATTCAGAGATAATTCAATCAATGACTTAAGCAACAACAACAAAAATCAATGTATTTACCAAATGAAATCTTGATGTAATTTACCCAGACAGCTGACCTTTACCTTAAATCATATGCAAACTGCAATTTGCCTGTACATCAGATTACAACAAAAAAGATGTTATTATATTCTTTGTCTGACATCTTTGATCTCTCATACAATATGATCTCTTGGTTTATAGTATTCTGGTAAACATTAAATTATTCTGGTAAAAAAAACACTTATTTTTATACTTCTGAACATAGAACTGTGAGGCATTAAGAAAAAGTCCACATGAGTGTTAATTTTAATAAAATTGGGTGCTCTGTTATGCACTGTGCAATGTACTAACATACAGTACATGTTAGTACAGCAATAAACAATGCAAAAATGTCACTGCTCAGATGTTATAAATGTGTGCAATTTAAATGGTTACTTACTACGGTTGTTTTTCCATCTTTTTTCTCCACCACTGCAAAATATAAAGTTAAAAAAGAAACATGAGCTGCTACGTTAAAAATATTTTGATTGCATAATAACATCGCTTAACAAGAAAAAATAACAAATCACATAAAAACAAAATTAACATTAAGAACCTACAGTTAACAACACCTATTCTGGGCCTATTGTTTTTTTTTTGCCGTTGATGGATCATTTTCTGAATGGAACAAATCACTGTTAGCATTTTTATATAACAAATTAAGAAAACAGTCTGTATACATAAAATCGAAACTTCCTCATACATACACAGTATTGTAGTCATGAAAACTGAATATTGCTTTATTTAATAATGTAAGAAGAAAAAAAAACAAAAGGAAGCTATCCAGTCCATCTAGCTCATTTTGGTAGCTAGTAGCTCCCAGATCCACAGATCTCATCCACCACTTCTTGAAAGAAGAAGGGGCAATATGGATGGGTAGCTTATTACAGTCTCTGAAAAATGTTTGTAAATAGGGACCTGGATCCCAATATTCCTTTTTTCATTCTTTTTGTCCTCCATTCAGGGCACTGGGTAGACCACCACCTCTTTCACAAGCCCACTGGTTCTGCCACAGCTTCACATCGGCCTTTAAAACACCTCCCCAGTCTGCCCCCAAAGTCAACTGCCTGTTGCAGGCCAAATCTGAGGTGGGCTCACCAGACACCACCTCTTTCCTTCAGCTATTTCATGGCTTCCTAGTGTACTAGCTTACCACTGCCATTGGGATGGGCTCTGCCATCTGCAGGCAATGTGAACAGTCCGCCAACATTGGGATTATGGCCATGATCAGTGTCTACCATACAGCCAAAGACCCATCTGTTCCCTTCTTTGCCCTGCCTCCCAGCTGAGTAAACTCTGCATCTTGCTGCTAACATGTGTTTTAAGTCTTTGGCTCTCAGGGTGCCATCTGGAGACTGGGTAAACTGGACACATCATCTCTTCCACTATCTGACAATGATGCAGCACTTAAAGGTTCAGAAGGATGGAGATGGGAATTTAGGCTCATCTCTTGCTTGTGTTGCAAAGGTCAGGTGGCAACATGTCAGCACCACCTAGCTGTAATTATAGCCAGAGATACAATAACTCCCCAGACTCTCACCCAGGACTGTGCCTGTTATAGAGTTGTAAGTTATTCAAGAATGCCATTACTAAAACCACACATATTTACCTATATGACATAAATGCAGACTGCTAAAACAATGTCTGCTTTTTAGGGGGAACACTTTAGTGGTCAAAGAGTACAATCTGAATAGTTATTTTACAACAATGTGTCAGATTGCAGCTGCAATATAAAAGCTCAGTATTTTTTTTTTTGTTTGAGAATGGAATTAATGATAAATTTCAAGTAAATAAGCAATTTCTATCAATATAAATCAAAGGAACAACAAAAAAGTCAGATTTGAGAAGTATCTGGTTGCCTCTGATGACACTATACAAGAATGACACTGGACTCTGATGCCACTGTTCAGAAGGGTGATGAACTGCATTTTTATTTTAACAAATATAACAATAAATATTAATTATACTGCCCTGCAATGACAATATTTATAGTAAGAGATGTTTTTACTTCTCCCAGATGGTATACATTTTTATTCTCTGCAGTGTCCAGTAAATTAATCCATATAACCATTCTGAAATCTGCTTATTCGGGTGAGGGTCACAGTGAGAAGTGATAGTGATTATTCCTACACCACATTTAGCCATGTCCCACTGAACAATTGTACTTTCACACAAGCAAAAACTTTGACCCAAACTATCAATAAGTGGGTTGCAACCAGGGTAAAAGTGATGGGAGTGAAAAGTGTCAAACAGTGTGATTAAGATCAACCCATCCATAGGCTTCCCAAAGAAGGTCAAGTTTAGGAAGCGTCCTCAATACACGTCATAAAGTCTGTGCAAATAGTAAAAACAACACAACAATACTGTACATGAAACCAAATAATCTTCAAACAGAGGCAGCAGATAGCAGATAACAATGGGAACAAATAAAAAGGCTACTTTCGAAGAACGTATTTAACTCTTAGTATAAACTGTCGAATAAACAGGTCAGCTTTTTTGGTCAAATGGGAGTTTAATACAAAAAAAGTAGATAAAAAACATGTGCTGTGTGTATTTTAACATGTTGCTAGTATCATTCCGTATTTCTTTCAGTACGGCAGGGAGATTTTTGTTTTTCGTTCAACAATATGATTTATCAGCTCAAGTATGCAGAAATTACACGTGATATGTAATATAACTCCATTTAACCCCCCCCCAAAATTTCACTAACTTTGCATAAGATCTTTTGGGGTCGTGCAATTAAATTAAGACAATGAAAACCCAATTTAATGAGATCTGAAAATCAAGTAGTTAAAAATATCTTTATACTGCCGTTTTAACTTCCATGCATTCACCATAAGGCTCAATTTTTACACAGAATTCATCGAGTAGAACTTACCTTCTCTGATGCCTCTGCTCGGACAGCTCCCCAAAACAGATAATATTGGAGTCCCAGTAAACTTTTGGAAAATCTTTTGTTGATAATTTATAGCGAGATGCTGAAAACCTATAGCAGACAGATACACAGACCTCAACATGCTGCGCGCTGCCATCTTGCCGCTGACCTTCTGCTGTCACAGGCAAGACTTGCGTTTCCGCTTCCGCGCTGAGCAGATTGAGAGCAGTAGATGGATAAATGCGGACTCCAATAAAAATAAAAAAAGAAACTGTTAATTTCACGAAATGATTAAATAGGTTTATTTCCCTTTGATTTTAGCGAGGTTTACTTCCTTTTGTTTTTAACTGTATTAACTGCATTTCTAAATCACTGTAACTTGAACAAATTTGTACTTTAAAATCAATGCATTTAGTATGAAACTGCTGAATGGGATCTCCGCTGTTAAACTGCGTGTTGCTAGTGTTCTCTTTATCTATTTGTATGACTTAGATGAAGATCTGATCAAATTTTAGGTCAAATTTATGCAGAACATCAGAAAATTCTAAAGGGTTCACAAACTTTCTAGCACCACTGTATATATTTCACATCACTGTGAAACATATATATGAAAAGAAATACTATAAAGTCTCTCATTATCCTTCTGCTATCCCATTGTTCATTGTGCATTTATGCACTACATTAAGCTCAGGGGCTTCTGTGTCCTACTTAGATTTTTCAATTTTAGTGAACATTTCAAATTCAGTGAATATTTTGACCATATTAAACCAGTCAGCACCATTACCTACAGATTAACATTAGTAGAATAGATGAGACTAACCCCACACACTGTTTTTGCTTCCCAGTAGGATGGTTGGAGAATTTTGACACCTTCCGTATCTTTTCTGTGTAGTGTAACGCATATGGCCGACATTACAGGTTGTGAGAGCTGGCTTGCCAGCACGGTGACATCACTGCCCTTTCCTGTGAATAGCAGGGACCTCAGCCATCAGGCTGACGGGAGATCTCCCTTTAGCTCAGCTGAACTGGTTCCCTGTTGTGTGATGCTGGAGGCCCGGGTTCGAGCCCCCAGCGGTGGTGGTGGGGGGGCTGACCTGAGGTGGCAGCGGTGAGGGCACGTACCCACGTAAACCTGAAAGCGCTACAGTACGATATAGGGTAATTCATTATTATACTTGCTTAGCTTCCTCCATTGTTAGAAATGCAAATGGTATGATAAGAAAAAACTATTTTATTACCATTGAGATAACATCAGAAACAGGTTAATTTGATTTTGGTGTTAAGACATTTTTGTGTAATACTTTCATTATTATTAGATATGTCTAATATGTGAGAACAAAGTAAAATGAAAATAGTAGCTGATAGTTCCATTTACTTTCATAAACCCAGTAATATCAGAACCAAATTATTTTACTCAATTTAGCTGACAAAGACTAAAGAGCATTTTTTTCTCTGATCAACAGCTCTATAATCTCTAATGAATCCATGTGAGAAAATATGAGTTTGGGTAATTTAGGGTCAGCAGGAGAAAGATAAGAGACATAGGTAGTTGTAACAGAGCAGTGAGGCACTGAATCTGACTTGTTGGAATGCATTAAAAGAATGTGGCAGCTGTAAAATATGTCTTTTAAGCAATGTACTGTAGGATTCCTTTCTGGATATGCTTATGAATGTGTGTTGATGGATGCTGACTAGAAACATTTTCTCTTAACAGCTTTTAAACTCTTGATTACACAGAATATTAACACAACTTCAGGTGAATCCATAACTGAAACTCCTTCTTTTTATTGTTTTAGATTATCTTAAAATACACTCTCTGTGCATCTTTTTTTACCCATTTTAAGAGGAAGTTTTAATAAAGGTATTTTTATTCATAAACCTGTAATCTGCACTTTTATCTGTCAAATGTCCATCTTCTTCAATTCATTTTGAATAATTTTAAGAAATTATTTCCAGTTCAGGGTCGCAGGGAGGGCAGAGTCTGTCTCGGCAAGCAGCTGGAACAAGGGAGGGTACACCATGGATGGGATGCCAGTCCATCACTGGATAGACACACAGGCATAAACAGGCACACACTCACACCTAGGGCCAATTTTCCCAGAAACCAATTATCTTACCAGTGTGTTTTGGGGCTGAGGGAGGAAATCTGAGCACCAGGAATAAAAGCCATTATTATTATTGTAATGACTTTGAACAGACTGAAAAGAAATATCCTTTCCATTTTGATTCCTTCCCTTTTAACTTGGAAATGGCATTCACAGCAAGAAACAGTACAGTGACTGGGTTGCAGTTTGATAATTTATTAATTAGTGATGTCTTACACTTGAGAAGAAACACAAAACAATCTGGGAATTTGTCTTGGGGTGAGGATAGAAAACTTTGGAATCATAATATGCAAAAGTGACACATTGCTGACTTTAGCTAAGTGTAGCTGAACTGGCCAATTTTCCAGCAGTGTAAGAAGTAGTAGTAAGGTATTATCTGTATCCTACAAGTAAGGATGCATGGTAATATGACCAAGATGTATAAATTCCATAGAACATTGTTCTAGGAAGAGCACAATGAGGTAAACAGAAAGCATAATGATTACTTCTTGTAAACTCATGTGATTATGACTAACCTGACAAAGCTTTAGATAATGAGACACAGAATAAAAGAGGGAGAGGGTTTGACATATTCAGATTGGAAGGTTGGACATGGAAGGGAACATTTTCACGGCATTCGAAAAACTTCTTGACTAAATCTAACTGCACAGATGCCAAGGAAAACATGAATCTGAAGACAAATGGGCACTGCTTTGGACTGGGTTGCTGGGGGCAACCTAGCTAAGCAGCACTATCTACCTGCATTACAGTATACTGTATTTTAAATAATACATCGATTATAATATCACTTTATTGGCCATATACAATTTCTTGTATCAGGAATTTGTCTTTTCACATACCCTTC